TTTGAAAAATGTTTATCAATTCTTTAAATGTTAAATTTTTTTATTACTACATTAAAGTAATCACTTGTATAATGTTGACCCATGATTAAGTTTTTATTGTAGATTTAAAGATGTTAAAAAATTATATGTTTTATCTAATATTTCCTAATATTACTGTTTATCTTTAATCTTATCTGGATTAAAATATTATTAGATTAAAATATGTTATCTAAAATCTTTTGTGATATTCATTAATTTGAAATTTAAAATATGCTATTCTGAATGATTTAGAATTTGACTAGAATATGTTGAAATTTTATATGTATTGAAAGCATGATTTTTATGTGAATTTAGAAGGTTATTTCATTATATTAAAGTTTATGTATTTTAATGTATTATGATTTTCATTTAAATTAGAATGTTATTTCCTTGTTTTAAAGCTTATCTCCTTGTCTATCATTCAATGCATTATTATGTTTTTGGTTTATATTGCTAATGAATATATGTTGCGGTATGAAATTATATATTATTTGGATTGAAATTTCTCACAGGCCAGGCCCAACCCATAGGTCAGGCCACAGCCTATTGGCTAGGCCTAATCAGTAGACCAGGCCCAACCCGTAGGCCAGGCCCAACCCACGGATCAGGCCTTGGCTCGTAGGCTAACCCAGCCTAACCATCATGGGCGGTCACATGCGATGCACATGACCAGTCCATGGGCCAAGGCTAGGCCAGCTTTGTGTGATGCATGCCCAGTCATATATAATGCACATGACAAGTAGATGAGCTGGCTTAATCTAGCTCAATATTATTGTTGGATTTGAGCACAAGTATTGATTGAACTAAACTAGGCTTGATTAGTCTAGATCAATTCAGGGTGATTCCAAATTGATTGACTTATTCAAGTTAGTTTAACCTAAATTGAACCTAATCTAATCCAAATTATACTAGTCTAGGGTAGTTCCAAACCAATTAAATAAGGATTATTTAACTAGTCTCTAATCATAGCAAAATTATTTAACTAGTCTAGGGTGGTTCCAGACCAGTTAAATTATACAGAACCGATCTCTAATCCTTATTTAACTAGTCTGGAACCACCCTAAACTAGTATAATTTGGATTAGATTAGGTTCAATTTAGGTTAAACTAACTTGAATAAGTCAATCAATTTGGAATCACCCTGAATTGATCTAGACTAATCAAGCCTAGTTTAGTTCAATCAATACTTGGGCTCAAATCCAACAATAATATTGAGCTAGATTAAGCCAGCTCATCTACTAGCCATGTGCATTATATATGACTAGGCATGCATCACACAAAGCTGGCCTAGCCTTGGCCCATGGACTGGTCATGTGCATCGCATGTGACCGCCCATGATGGTTAGGCTAGGTTAGCCTACGGGCCAAGGCATGATCCGTGGGTTGGGCCTGGCCTACGGGCTGGGCCTGGTCTATTGATTAGGCCTAGCCAATAGGCTGTGGCCTGACCTATGGGTTGGGCCTGGCCTGTGAGCAATTTCAATCCAAATAATATATAATTTCATACCGCAACATATATTCATTAGCAATATAAACAAAAAACATAATAACGCATTAAATGATAGACAAGGAGATACGCTTTAAAACAAGGAAATAACATTCTAATTTAAATGGAAATCATAATACATTAAAAGACATAAACTTTAATATAATGAAATAACCTTCTAAATTCACATAAAAATCATGTTTTCAATACATATAAAATTTCAACATATTCTAGTCAAATTCTAAATCATTCATAATAGCATATTTTAAATTTCAAATTAATGAATATCACAAAAGATTTTAGATAATATATTTTAATCTAATAATATTTTAATCTAGATAAGATTAAAGATAAATAGTAATATTAGGAAATATTAGATAAAACATATAATTTTTTAACATCTTTAAATCTACAATAAAAACTTAATCATAGGTCAACATTATACAAGTGATTACTTTAATGTAATAATAAAAAAAAATTAACATTTAAAGAATTGATAAACATTTTTCAAACTACAAGCTTTCAACATTCAAAAAATCAAAATAAAAACTAAAACTTTTAAATTTAAGAAAGGCAGGGAAACCTACCTCTTGTCAACAGGGTGTAACTCCTCGTTCTCTTGTCAACAGGGTGTAACTCCTCGTTTCTCCCGCTGCCAGGCTCGACTATTTGAGGAACGAAGGAGAGAAATCCCTCCCTTTAAATAGGAGGAGGTGAGCCTCTATTAAGGGAAATAAATTTTAATTTTCGTATTTATAAATTATTTTCATTTAATATACTAACAAATATGATATCATCATATTTTGAATACTTACTAGTTATTTCCTTAATTCATATCAACAAACAAGGAAGTAGATTAAGATTTCCTTAAATTATAATAACAAGTAAGGAAAGGAAATCAATTCATAACTTAAATATTTGATGTGATTACAATATGCTTCTATATGTGCTTTGGATAAGAATAAAATGTATACAACGTCATATACCGTATATGACGTTTAAGCTTTTGTTTTGTATTTGTCCTTTGATATGTTTCGAAATATTTTATTTATTATTAATATACTACGAAACATTACATACACCCTTGATATGCTCTAAAATGATTCATATGCCATTGATATGCTCCGAAATATTTCATATGTCATTGATATGCTTTGAAACATTTCATACGTCATTGATATGTTATAAAATATTTTATTTGTTATTGATATACTCTGAAATATTTCATACATATTTGATATACTCCGAAATACTTCATATTCTATTGATATGTTCTGTAACATTTCGTACGTCATTGATATGCTCTGAAATGCTTCCTATGCCATTGATATACTCCAAAATGCTTCATATGCCATTGATATGTTCCGAAGCATTTCATCTGCCATTGATATATTCTAAAATATTTCATCCGCCATTGATATACTCTGAAATACTTCATATACCATTAATATGTTCCGAAGCATTTCATCCACCATTGATATATTCCGAAATGTTTCATTCGCCATTGATATGCTCTGAAATGCTTCATATGTTATTGATATGCTTTGTAATATTTCATACATTATTGATATATTCTGAAATATTTCATTTGTTATTGATATGCTCTGAAACATTTCATACATCCTTGATATGCTCTGAAATGCTTCATATGTCATTGATATGCTCCGTAACATTTCATACCCCATTGATATGCTCCAAAATGCTTCCTATACTATTGATATACTCCGAAATACTTCATATGCCATTGATATATTCTGAAACATTTCATATGCTATTGATATGTTCCGAAATGTTTCATCTATCATTGATATGATCCGAAATATTTCTTATGTCGTTAATATGTTCCGAAACATTTTATACACCATTGATATACCTTGAAATGCTCCTTATATCAATGATTTGCTCCAACTAATCTTTACTCAAATGTTATGAACAAAACATGCTTCGAGTGAGATGACATTGTAATTATGTATTTATTAAGTGGCTATCTATAAACTCTTATATCCCTACTTTATATTTGGTACTTTATTTGTTTGAAATTGTCCTCTTTCACTATGGATATGTTAATTACTTGCTGAGCTCTATATACTCACCCTGTACATATATAAATTTTTTATGATAGCTTGTTGCTTGCTAGAATGTTTATATTAGGCTGAGGCAGTGGAAAGCTAGAAGACTTTGGGCAAAACTTTAGTGGATGATATGTTTTTATTGTATAAGTACACTTACTGTCTAATGAAATATTGATGATAAATCTAAACTATGAGTTTTGTAAAAGTTTAAAAGACCTCTCATGTTAGGATTTTGGAGTGTTAAGTTAATTTGTGTAATGACATGAACATGTGGTCAATATTAATTTTTGTGATTGTATAGAATCCTACACTTGTGGATTTATAAGGTGGTTTTTGTCTTGATGGGTTGGTTTCAAATTTTATGATTCATCAAGTGATGTAGTATATAAATTTAAACTACATATGTTTTATGAATTATGAAATTATAGATGTGAATGACTCGAATGTTTTCTCAGTATCCTCAAACGTGTAATTGGATCCTGGAATGGAATATATTGTTGAACTTTAATATTATCGATTTTGAGTTAGGTTCGCGCTTCATGAACATTATAATTCGAGGGGGGCGTGACGAACTACCTTCCCCATGGAATATTCATAAGAATATTCTCGAGAGTCCAAGGGATAACTTTGGATGATTACGAACTGCCTCCCTTATGAAATATTTGCATGAATATTCTTAAGAGTTAAGGGGGGGCAACTCGGATCGATTATAAATCACCTTCCTTATAGAATTTATATAAGATATTTTATCTCCTTAAGATCAAGTATAAAAATGTACCATCAACATTTGATGAGAGACTAAGGGCTAAAGATATAGACGCATTAGAACTAAACTCAATAAGCTTATCTCAATTTTAATATTTGTATAGGTAATCAAGGAAAAATATCTTTTTACTTTGGATGATCGTATGCATATGAATATGAACCACGCTCACAACAACATCAACGATATTTTTTTAATAAAATATAACATTATTTCATTTAAAGTTAGCTAAGCTCAAATTGTGGGTTTGACCAAATAAAAATGAGCCACATCAACTCCAGAGGCGGATGCGTAAACCGTTCGTAACATCGTACGTTGATGCAATACGGCAGTGACGCTACCAGTGGGTCCCGTTCCGGACGCAAGGTTCGAGTCTCCTCGAGTCATCTGCAGCATTCGCGTCTTTTCATCGTCACTCCGTCGTGAAAGGGACGCACGGGCAGAGAAAGCCACAATAAAAGTAGAAGAAGCGGAGTGCGAAGGCGATTGCCGGGAAGATGCAAGAACTGAAGGCCGGGAGGCGGCCGCCGTGGGTGGGGCTGGCGGCGGCGGTATGGGTGCTGGTGGCAGCGGGCAACGCCTACACCTTCCCCCTCTACTCACCCTCCTTAAAATCCGTGCTGGGGTACAACCAGCAGCAGCTTACCATGCTCGGCGTCGCCAACGACATCGGCGAGAACTTCGGGCTGATCGCTGGCTTCGCCAGCAGCCGTTTCCGGCCGTGGCTTGTGCTGTTTGCTGGCGCCGCCTGCTGCTTCCTCGGCTTCGGTGTCCTCTGGCTCACCGTCACCCAGACCGTCACCGGATTGCCGTTTTGGACGGTGAGTCCATTTTCTCCTCTGCTACATGTCACATTTCTTGTTCATTACTTTGCTTCGGTATAATATGTTTGCGAAGCTTCTACTTTGTGCTTTTGATCTCAGAAGGAGATGAAATCTGCATGCCCTTCTTTCCCCAAGTTATATTGGTTTCAGATCATTTTGAAGTCTTAGATTAATGCTTCACAAGGCTGATAGTGATTCTTTGGGCGAAGAATTGCTTTAGCTAACGCACATCAATTATATTTCATTTGCCTTTTTTGTATGTGAAAGTTGTTGTAGGAGAAATAGATTAGGGTATCAGACCAAAGGTTGCTTGTGCCTAAAGAAAGCAGATATCGAGGTGATTTCGCTGAGATAAAGCTGCTTCTGGAGCGCTGCAGCATGCTGTGGACGTTTACGGAAAGGGTTTGCCAAACTTTGCTTGCGGTGCGTTCCACGTTTGTCGCGTAAATGCTTGCTGTCTTCCTAATTTAGGGATTTCCTGTACCCCTGTTGAGCATCAAGCATTCAAACGTGTCCTTGCATCAAGGAAGGACATAGGCTATAAGTTTATGTTGCCATTATTGCTCTAGGATGTTGCCAGGCAAGTCTCTTTCGATTTGAACATGAACATATTAGCTGGGGCAATTTTAGGAATAATCAAGAATTTTAGGAGCCAATATAATCCTAGAGAGATGTCGGGCTCTTGGTCGGACAAAATTTTGATTGTTGATGGTAAGGTCTTTAAATCTAATTTCATCTTCATCATTTACTCCACATAGACAAAAAAATAAAGTTTAAGGTAAAAGAAAAGAAAATTAAGGTAAAGGTATTATTCCTCTCAACTATTGAAGTATGTTAGTACTAGCAGTGGGGCCCATATGTGTTGGGCCCATGATTTCACGAGAAAAATGTTGAGAGGGAATTCTACGTACCTAAACAGCATGTTTTCTGTGAGAGGGCCATATAATGAAGGTGTCAGTACTCATTAAAAGGCATTTTGGCCCATATAATTTCCTGCTGTCTCTGCTCAGTAAGCCCTTAGAATGATGGTGATTTTTTTGTTTTTTACAATTGGATATTATATTCATCAAGGGAAATGCTATAGGCTCCCTCTCATGAACTATATGGTTCTCTCTGATACTTTATCTGTGACGTCCACCGGCGGCAATCAAGGAAGTCATTGGGACAACTTATGATAATTGTTGGTGAACTGCATTAATTATATGGACCGTGGTCATGTACTTGATGAATTTCTTTTTGTGACAAAGATGATTATGTGGGATGTGTACTTGATATGCACTTTATCTTAGATTTTGAATGATGCTTGTAGGTGGATGCCATTAGTTATATTTGGTTCACCTTTATGTAATTGGCAAAATATTTTTATTTCACAAAGTACTGTATTTTAGATAAACTATGTTTATAATAAGAAATTATCCTAGGGATGATTTTATGTGTACAATCGGAGAATTGTCCCACATCTTGAGCACAAGAATTCACTAATAATTTTCTTCACTTGCATGTCTTTGCTACTAGCAATAGTTTGTGTAGGGCATAGAGTTTAGGATTGAGGGCAGAGATATTATCAATTGCATGTTTGCCTACTTGGACATTTTTATTAATTTTGTGGGAATATAATGTACAAGAGGAACCCAATTATCTACTTTGAAGAGTAAAACTTGGAGAAAGTGTTCCCCACCCTATGAAATTACGATCTGTGTCATAAAGGATTTAATGCAAGATATACTTTGTTAATATGATCATTTATTTTAGGATGTAAATACACATTTTTAATCTTCATTACAGCATCAAAAATTATCTTTTCGAACTAGTATTGGTTATGGCTTTTGTTGGTATCTTGTTTAATAGTTGCAGAGTTGCATTTGATGCCTTAACTTATTATATGTCTCTCTATATGTACTTTAAATAAGAAACAAAGATTTTACCATTCAATTAGGAGAGAAACCATTATATGTCAATTCTCAATATTCCAGCAATATGGAAATAATCATTTTTCGTTCAAAATTATATCCCAACGTGAAACATTTGACCAACAAGAATTCATGAAAAAGTATTGTTACTTCCATTCTTATTCAAAAATTTTTAGGAACTGTTTATTTCCTTATCATCATCTATTGACCATTGAAAGATAGATGATGCTACTGTTTTCACTTGTGTTACATTACATATGCATCTTTCCAATCACTTCTATTATTATCCAAATAATCTATGTTGTTGAACTTGAAGTTGATAATCCCCTCTATTACAGTGATCAATTATTGAATACATTGTTTATAAATGCATTGTCATTATTTTTTTTATTTTCTGCCCAAAAGTTAGTTTTCACTTTTTGTTTTGACACTTCTCATCTTTTTCTCAGTTGTGGATTGCTTTATGTATTGGTACTAATAGCAGTGCATGGTTGGTCACGGGGGTGCTGGTAACCAACATGCGGAACTTCCCTCTTAGTAGAGGCACTGTTTCTGGCATTCTCAAAGGTTATGTCGGTCTTAGTTTATCAGTATTCACTGCATTGTACACTGGCATGCTTCATAGTTCATCGACAAATTTGTTGCTGTTTCTAGCCATTGGCCTGCCAGCTATATGCCTTGCAATGATGTGCACTGTTCGGCCTTGCACACCATCCCTAGAAGAAAACACATCAGAACGTGGTCGCTTCCTGTTTATTCAAATTTCCAGCGTACTTCTTGGTCTTTACCTTCTCTCCTTTACAATCACGAATAGTTATGTCTCACTGGGTGATGGCATTACCTGTTTGTTTTTTGGTATCATGGTGCTCTTCCTTCTAGCTCCCCTTGCCATCCCACTTAAGATGACCTTTTTTCCAGCTAATAATGAACAGACTGTTGCAAAAATCCCTTCTAGTGGTTCTTTAGACGATTTGTCCACAGGAGGTCAAGATAAAACAGAACCTTTGATTGCTACATCGTCAGCAAATAACCTGGGGAATGTGCAGGAGTCTGATGATGTTTCTGATGTGGAGATGCTCTTAGCTGTTGGGGAAGGAGCAGTTAAGAAGAAGAGGAGACCCAAGAGGGGAGATGATTTTGAATTACACGAAGCATTGATCAAAGCTGACTTCTGGCTCCTATTCATGGCCTTCTTTATTGGAGCTGGCTCAGGTGTCACGGTTCTGAATAACTTGGCACAGATTGGGATTGCAGTTGGAGTTGATGACCCAACCATCTTATTGTGCCTTTTCAGTTTTGGCAATTTTCTTGGTCGTCTCGGTGGAGGTGCTGTTTCCGAGTATTTTGTCAGGTGATGCCTTTGTTTTCTCGATCACTATTACTTGAGGAGAGTAATGTGGGTATTAAGTTGATGGGTTTTGTTCTTGTTGCAGGACAAGAATGCTTCCTCGGCCAATTTGGATGACATGCACACAAATAATCATGATTTTAGCATATCTTCTCTATGCTTTGGGGCTGAGTAGTACTCTAAATGCATCAACTGCAATGCTTGGCATCTGCTATGGGGTCCAAACTTCTGTCATGGTTCCAACGGTGTCCGAGCTGTTTGGTTTGAAGCATTTCGGAACTCTCTTCAACTTTATGTTGTTAGGGAATCCTCTCGGTGCGTTCTTGTTCTCAGGTCTTCTTGCAGGGTCCTTGTATGACAAAGAAGCCGCAAAGCAGCACCCTCCCTTCCTGGATCATTCAAGCACTTCTTGCTTGGGGCCAAGCTGCTTTAGGGTCACATTCTTGACTCTTGCCGGGGTGTGTAGCCTGGGAACTTTGTTGAGCATGATTTTGACAAGGAGAATTAGACCAGTGTATCAAATGCTGTATGCAGGTGGGTCATTTAGGCAGCCTCCAACTTCTATACACTGATAGCAGTTGATCTCCGATGCGGCAACGGCGATGTGGTCTGTTTCGGCCCCTTCTTCTCTCTAAAATGTCTGTCTTATTTATCGTCCGCTTGCAGACCTTAACGCTATGTGCAGTCGTCGTCAAGCGCATTTATAGGTTTCTCGAGAAATGTTTTTATCACTATTTTCTTTACAGTGTCACAGTATTTTTTTTTTGTGGGTTTGTTAAGAATTGCAGTCCTGAAAATAATAATATCATCATTAGAGCTTAATATAAATATATTGGACTCTTTATAAGATTATTGGTTATCCAATCAAAACATTTATCATGTTATTATAGCAGATCATGTGTTTGAGATTTATATTTATGCTTGTTTACTATGTCTAGTATTTAATTAAAAATAATCATTTAGATTTGCACCATTTATTTGATCCAACTTGTATATGAGATAATAAAGATACACAACAACAATATTGCATCACAAGCTTTTAAATCATCAAATCTCTTTTCTATATTAAAAATAAAATTTCTATTATGTGAAATAAAAAAAATGTAAGAGAGTTTCTTTATTGCGAAGATGACCAAAATAAATCAGATAAATACAGTAACTTGTAGATTAATAGTATATATATCCAAGACTCTATTTACATCCACACAAATCTATTAAACAAATCCCAAAAGCACTTAATTGCATATTAAATTCAAAACAAAAAATAACAAATTGCTATTTTGAATAAGGACCTAAGGAGTGACAAGACGGATGACGCAAAGTGGAGGATAGAAACGTTTACGACGTTGACCAAATGATGTCCGACATTTAAACCAAGCCGACCGCGACTCGGCTACTCTCCAAACCGAAATTAACCGGTCAATCCAATGTCAATACAACAGAGTCATTTCTCCAAACCACGTATGGACCACGTCATGACCCGATTCGTCTCCCCACGCGTAATTTCAATTGTTCCTCGTGAACAACTTAAGCTGACCGTCTCCTCCCCAGTCCAGTTGTGGAAGCCACCACGTCTTGCCCTCCTCCTCCCAACTATTAATATCGACAGCCCCTCTTCTCGGACCCTAAACCAAGAAAAAGGTGGAGGACGAGGACGAGGACGACGACGATGGCGGTTGTTGATCAGATCGAATTGAAGGCGATCTCGTGTAAGGGCGTGAAGTCCTTCAACCTCTTCCAGAAGACTTGCCTCTCGGCCGCCGTCTTCTTGTCGTTCGCCGATGCCGACCGCCCCCGTCGCACCCAGCGCCTGCAGACCACCGTCGACAGAGACGGCGGCGAGAACCCCGAGTGGGACCAGCCCATGCGGTTCGACCGCGACGGTGACGACCTCGTCCTCGAGTTCGAGCTCAAGGACCACGGTGGCCTCCTCCCCGGCGACAAGATCGTCGGCCGGGCCAGCGTCCCCGTCGCGGACCTCGCCGCGGAGCGGCTCCCCGGGGCCTTCCGCCGCGTCAGCTACCAGCTGCTCGCCCCCGACGGCAAGCCAAATGGCATTCTCTCCTTCGCGTACCGGATCGACGGCCGGGGCGCTGATATCGCTCCGCCGCCGCCGGATTTCTTGCCCACCGCCGCGGTGTTAGGTTATATGCCGCCGCATGATCCCCCGGCCATACCGCCGCCGTTAGTTTATTGCCCGCCGCCCGGGTCAAATTCCATGTATCCTCCACCTGTTCCCACAGCCACGGCCCCGGTGTTGAGCTATACCGCGCCGCCGGGATCTAGTCCCATGTATCCTCCGTTGCCGCTGGAACCGGCATGGTCGATGCATCCGCCTCCACCACCGTCAGAATCGATTTGGTCGCCCTGTCCTCCGCCGCCTTCCGGAGCGAATTGGTCTATGTATCCACCAGCTCCGCCGCGACCGGAACCGAATTGGCTGCTGTATCATCCGGCAGCAGAACCGGCGATCTCGTACTCTGCACCGTCACCGCTGGAGGCGCCAACGTATCCTCCGCCTCCGGGCCCGGCGGCGACGGGTTACGCGAATTGTGACCAGCGGCACGTTGCGTATGGGTGGATGACGGACGGTTGGCATCCGGGGGCGTATGGTCGCTAGAAGCTTCCTCTAGCGATTGCTTCATTCGCTGCATGGGGCCGGGAACACTTCTCCAGAAACTTCTTTGGTATGTCTACACCACTGCGATTTTTTCCCCATCAAAATTCAATGTTTTGGGTGTTTATTCATATAAAGTTAAGCTTGCACATCTATAAATTCTTGTGAGATGGAATGTCTTTGTAATGAGACATTGAATTGGTAATGATATTAAGATCCCTATAAATTATGACAGTGAGATACTAAGGCCATCTTAGTTGCTTTGGAGATTTTATGTAAATATTTTTGATTTAAACTATGGTCGACATTAATAGAGTCGAGGGACATTATACATCCAATTGGAAACCAAGTTGTCTTTATGATTGAAGGTTTAGGTTTTCCCAAGTGACGATTAGTCCCTATGATGTCATCGTTAGCATTTTCCATCAGTAATGAAGTCTTAGTCGCAGCAAATACTATGTGCATGTTTTTTTTTTTTTGTATATCTAAAGTATGTTTTTAATGAATTCTGTATTCGCTAAAAATTATAAATTATTCAAAGAAAATTCCTTCGTGAAATTTACCATCGAAGTTTCCTCCCCCCAATAGTTGATATAGCCAAAGGATATTATGCCATGGCAAATTTTCTTAAGCCTTGAAAATTTTATGCCCATAATCATGTTTATTATAAATATATCAAATATTAAGTTATTAAAATAACCACAGTAGTCACTTTTAAATGCCAAAATCATGTAAATTCTTTTTTATTTAAAATTTATTTCCAAGACTTAAAAGAGTATGAACAACCGATTGTTTCTGTACCAAAAATAAAATTAGTGTAACGATCATAATCATCGTATTTCTTCCCTTCTAAACTATCATAAACAAATCAATATGATATTAAAGACACGTTAGATTAATGAATGAGCATAATACGATGCAACATACATATTTTTGGTATGTATGTATATATATACATATGTATGTATTTATGTATATATATATATATATACATATATATATATGTATGTATATGTATGTATATATATGTATATATATATATGTATATATTTGTGTATATATATATATATATATGTATATATATATA